TTCCAATGCGCTTCTTGATATAATCGGTAAATAGTGTCCTATATCACTCTCCGATCTATAAACTAAATGCAGAAACACGTTATTTTATGCTTAAAATAGACAGATTAGTCACTGCGTGTCTGGAAGAAGGACGTAAAAGAAATGCAAATAAAAACCAACATACCAACAACCACTCTTTCGTATTTATAATATTTGTATATCGCTGATATAATTAATGATATTATCATTCTTCTTATATTAGATAACTTTGTGGAAGGTACTATAAAAACTAAACCTTATAACGAAACCGGTTGTTTGCAAAACCAAATGGTCGAAAGCACGTGTAATAACCCATTAGGTTATCGCAACTGTAATCGCTTGCCATATTACCTTGCACCATACTTTACCCCTAATGAATTTTCATATAAAATTCTCACTATTATATATAAACTTTACAAAGTAATGTAAAAAATCTATTAAAATAATGTATAATAATAATTTTATACTAATATATATTTAGTATTTACTATAGTACTCCGCCCTTTTAACGTCCCACTGCTGGGCACGGGCCTCCCTTCAGTACGAGGGGAATCAGGCCATAGTCCACCATGCGGCCAAGTGCGGGTTGACGAACTTCACATGTCTTTTGAAAACTTGATACGTTCTCTCAGACATGCAGGTTTCCTCATGATGATTTCCTTAACCGTTAAGACATGTGGCAATCATGTTGGAAATGATTCGCACATGAAAATATCAGAACTGTGAGACCCGGGATTTAAATCCGCTTCACTCGGTTTCCCAAGCGAGCACGTTACGACTGGGCTACCACTACCTTATCTTGTATTGACTATTAAAATTTCACAAAAAAATATTGCAATCCAGTAATAACGACGTAATGTGTGCAACATTATAACATTGAATTTATGTTTGTTTTAAATCAAACAGTTCAAGGCAATCTTCGTATTTAATAAAAGCTCAAGAGGTAATTTTTAATGACCATAAAATAAAATAGCACTATCCATTTAGCCAATTAAACTTGTATAAGCGGTATTGTTGATAGAAAACAAAAATATGCGTGCGTTTAATTCTTTGTTTTGTGATGATGATGTTCTCCTAGCCGATTCCGGCCACGTCGGCCAATCTCATTGAGACTAAACAAATGCGCAGGAGATATTATAGTGCACAAGTATACGCGCAGACACAGGTGCACTCTCTATTCCTGTCACTCTCACACTCCGGTGGGACGACTGCTCAACACGACCAGTGAGAGTTAAGGCGCAGGACCGACAGCTTTACGTGCTCTCCGAGGCACAGGGGTGAAACACCGCCAACTTCCCAACTCCGGGCTGTTACTGAGACTTTCTATACAGAAAGACTCAATAACTAAACTTGGCCCGACCCGGGACTCAAACCCAGGATCTCCGAGTGTGCAGCCGTGCATGCTAGCCACTACACCACCGAGGCAGTTAACTGTTTTGTACATAATATATGTATTTATAAAACTGTAGAATATCAGGTTAGTTCTCTTGTGGCTTAGAAAATTAAATGCATGTCAATGACATATTATCTAAGCACGTCAGAATATCTATATATGGATTATAGTTTTATATTAGACTAGAATTGCCCGTGGCTACGCCCGAGTTCAGATAACTAAAAACCAAATTCTTAGGTTTTACATATTAGACTTACAGAATTGAGACATTTTCCCACGGTAAAAAGTATCCTATATATTGACCCTACCCTAATAAACCTCCCTAACTCGGTTAATTTTGACCGGAGGAAAAAAGTCATGACACATTTTTGATGTAAAATTTTAAGCTCCACACATTTTTAATAAAACTTTTTTGTCTAATTTTTACCGTTTTCGAGTAATTGCGAAAAAAACACTTTTGACAATTTTTTTACCCTTGCTTGTATCATTAAAACTACATTATATCAAAAATGTAAAGTTGATGGTAAAAATGTTGCTTTCAGACCATATTTGACTGGACTAGTAGGAAGTCAACATGTCTATGTTAAATAAAATTAACCTCAATTTTTATTTTTGCCATGCTTCATAATAGTATGAAAATAAAACAACTTTTACTAATGAACTTGACTTAATTCACTTTAAAGGCCCAAATCTTGAAACCTGAGTAACTTCTAAATAATATATCAATGTCATTCTCATTAATATTTATTTCATAACAACCTTAGAAGTCTATCTATGTTTGATAAATTATTTTATTAAATAAAAAATAGAGATCTTACTCGTTACAAGTTATACGCAGTTGAATAAATACGAAATGTGTAATTCTTAATTTTTTATAGTGTTAGTTGCGTTTCTTGCACGATAGTGATGTAAGGGTTAAAGAGAGAGTATATCTTGTTATTGACTGAGATATTAGAGACGAGTTAAAACGGAAGTACGTAGAAAATAAGCAGTTTTATATTGATTAATTTTCCTTTCACGAGTTATGATTCCTAAACAAGGCAAATTTGAATGTTTGTATGTTTGTTAATACCATGGAGTTTAGTAAGAAAATATTTTAGAAGTGTTTATTCATTTATAAGATGTACAGAAAAATCAAACATAAGTTCTTTACGCATAATAAACAATGGCTTTTGTAATATAAATCATAGAAAATTAAAAATAATAAAAAATGAATTATTACTTACATTTATAAAAACTGTAGCAATAATGACTAACATAGCTCATACAATTATAATCAATTGATTGAAGACTAATAATTGTTACACGAGTTTTTTTTACATAACCATCCAAGTTAATAGATCTGTGAGAGGAAACATGGTGGTTGTCGAGTTATTGTTACCATAGCGGATACATGAATCATGGATACCATGTTAAATGTAACGCTAATAAAAACTTAAAAAAAACGACTTCCAGGCACTAAAATGTAAAAAATAACTAAACGGGGGTTTTCATTTAGAATAAGTACCTAATCAGGTATTTTCGAAGTCGCTGCCAGCCCTATTTGAAAAAAAAATATATACTTCCGAATCGGTTCAGGCTTCTTCGAGTAATCGGTGACATCATCATACATCAAAAAGGTTCCGCCGAATAAAAATCACTATCAATCACAGAGTGTTGGTAACTTGGCTATTACATGTAATCAGATTTAGTGTTTTTTTTTCCTATTTTATACTCATCATTCTATATATTATTATAATGTGTCTTTTCCATTCTACGTGACATTGGCGAAGTAAATGGTGCCCAAACGGCACTTCTAGAAGCCATTGAACATAAGAATTGAATTGAACTTGACTATAAACAAAACATATATTATTGTTTTTCTTCTTTATTTGAAATTTTAAATGACTTAAATACCTATGTATGAACAAAATAATTTAATAATGTTAGTTAAAGAAATTTTTTAGAGTGTACGTTTAAAGCTCTTGATCAATATTATATGTATATTAAAATTTGTCAAAACTATATATGACTTTTTAAAATATCTAGGTGTGTATTGCTATATCGCAAAAAAGCTCATATTTAATGCATGGCACGACTTAGTTATTCTTTTAAACGTTAATCGTGATATTGATAATGAGATTATTTATATAATATTATTCTTACTTATCTTTTGTCATATTTCTATCATAGAAATATAATTTATTGTTATTTATTTAAAATTTATTACATATATTGTTAGGAATACCCCTCCAATGTAGATTTAATTGAATTTAGTTAGGTTATAAGTTCATTTGCAAAATTTATTTCATTAACTGACGTCCAAAAAGGAGGAACTCATTTAAATGTGCTACAGGTATTTTTTATATATTAACTAGCATTGCCCGCGGCTCCGCCCGCGTTCAGATGACCAAAAACTAAATTCTTAGGTGTTACATATTAGTATACTCTTACATTGCAGTTTTTGTATTTTTCCTCAGAAATAAGATATTTTCCCGCGGTAAAAAGTATCCTAGGATCGCGCGCTACATCGCCCGGTTTATATAGCTTGAGCAGGCGGTCGAGCGATGCGGGGCAGAGGGGATGGACTCGCCGTAGGCATCTCAATGCTCGCCAAGCATTAAAAATGTTTCGCTACTAATTACTTCTAACAACGATATCTCAAAAACTATTCATCTGATTGATTTAGTGTAAAGAGCAATTTTAATCTGCATTAAATGACTAAGCTAACTAAAATATTCATTTGGATAAGGATTAATACCGAACTAAAGAAAATAACTTTGAAAATAACGTAATGTTTTTAATTAAAAATGTTAACATAAAAGTGGTTATTGTAAGTCAACCGTAAGAGATAGAGATATGCTATCGCGGACTTTTTTGTAGCATTTTTATAGATTTTGAATTCTCTAGTACATTACTTAACTGTATCTTTGCTAGTTTACGCGGCGTTCGCGTGGAAAGTTCCCATTTGGCGAGATTTTTTGCGACCTCTTCAACATTTGTCGCCGTATTTCAGCTAATTTACATAAAAGCATAATAAATTATATACCTAAACCTTCCTCAAGAATTACTCTTTCTATTGTTGAAAACCGTTTAAATCCGTTCAGTAGTTTTCGAGTTTATCGCGTACAGACAGACAGGAGGACAGACAGGAGGACAGAAAGACGCGGCCGGGGGACTTATTTTTATAATAAGTATAGATTTTATATAGAATGTACTTTTAAAGTAGCTACACACAATTTAAGTGCTTTTTATTGGGGACGGTATTCTTTGTGAATTAGGAGTAAAGCCGATGCGGTATTACTGAGCGACATTGAACTCGATATAGTTAACTTCAGAAATAGTATAATTATATAAGAAATTTGTATTATTATTCCATTACTATATTCAAAAAAGTCCTACGAATCCTAAAAAATAAATACAGAGATACAATTTAAGTTATAATATGTAATTGTGTTTATATAATTTAGATATATTATAGATATTATACATAATATATTATTAGAATCAATTTATAAACAATAATTAATTTTCCTAATATACTTGCCCTAGGAAGTAAGTCTTCGATCCTAAGTTCAATATCACTAACGTGCACTTTTGTTTGTTACAGATAATTCCTGAACCATCGATAAACTAACCTCCTTGACTGGGGAATGACAGATTGTCGTTTATATAGTCTATATTTCTATCTTGACGTATATAAGCTGTATTGTACTATTGTATTTTCATTAAAATTATAAAAATAATGCGGATAGGAGTTTTAAGGAGATAATTTTTTTTATTTTATTAAAATGGCGTCGTGGAAGTCGTGTGTGTGGATTATTTTCGTAGTAGTGTGTATATTAGGAAAGATTTCTGGTTTAGACAATGGTTTGGCGCTCACACCCCCTATGGGATGGCTTGCCTGGGAACGATTCAGGTGTAACACTGATTGCAAGAATGATCCTGATAATTGCATAAGGTAAATATTTTTCATTCTTCTGTTCAATTATATAAATCATTACTAAATAATTAAATATAAATACTGGCTGTGTAATAACGTTGGTATAATATTTATATATCGTAAGTGTATAAGCATTATTGAATATTTTAAAAAATATTTTGCTCTTTCAAAACGATTTTTTGTTATAAATCATGTGTATTGATTAGTTACTTCAATATTTTAAGCGTAAGTAGCATTCAGAATCATTTCGCTGAAATCACCGAAGAGAAAAGAGCAAAGTGAAAAAAAAATATTTTAAAGATTTTTGTAAGAAAAGAAGAGGAGTGTAGACCGACTAGACACCGTATAACCAGAAAAGCCGACTGTCATGGCCACATTTATATGTATTATCAACGACTTATCGCCGATTAGATGCTTCGTGATAATGTTCCGTTGGTACACCGTAATACCGATTTTGGGTCCCAATGAATTATTTGTATTGCACTTATGTATATTTAGGGCAGTAGTAGCACGGTGGTAATGCGCTCGCTTGGGAAATCGAGCGAAGCGGGTTCAAATCCCAGTTAAATACATACATACATACATTGCACTTATGAACATTTACCAACGAATATCTGAATGTTGATACCTCCTTCGTATGATTTTCCTTCTGATACAAATTAGACTTAGCAGTGACTGAAAGAGATGTAGCGCAAATAATTTACTAATTCCTTACAGCGACCGTCTTTTCCGGACAATGGCTGATATCCTGGTTTCCGAAGGTTATGCAGCAGCAGGCTACGAATATATTAACGTGGACGACTGCTGGCCAGAACGGGAACGTGACCCCAGAGGAAAGCTAGTGCCTGACAGAGAACGGTTTCCGTATGGAATGAAGAGCTTATCAGACTATGTAAGTACCTATTAGATTACTGCCATTAACAAACTTGTAGGTCTTTCTTTTGAGAATGTACCTACATGATAAATTTTTAACAGTGCAGTTAGAGAGTATTTTTTTACATTTTTTTAAATTAGTATGCATTAATGCTGAAATTAGTATAATTTATTATTTATTTATTTAAAGAACATAATGATGAGTCATGTCGGCAAAAAAGGCACCTAAAATGAGATGTACAATATAGAAAATTTTATCTCTATGTCTAGAATCTAGATGATGATGTTACGCGGGGCATATAATAATATGAAACTTGCTGAAGGTTCTTATCTTGTAAAGTATAAATTAATCAGACACACTACAGGTTTCTCGGTTAGGCTATATAGGTAACAACAGACCTATTAACAAGTCATCAAAAACTGACGTTTCAGTATAATAATTTTCAACAGTTATAGTCTGTTAGACAGCTATGAATGTGATGAAAACCTCTTTAAGCGTATGTTCTCTTTCTGTTGCCCGTGCAAATTTATGACAATTAAAAAAATAGGATAATTTTCAATATGACCACATTAATGTACAAATCTTAAGCATTATCAACTATTAAAGTATCAATATATAGAGATGTAATGCGTATTTTTTAGTCAACTTACATTGTAAGGTATAGTTGCATTCGCATGTATTCATTATTTCGTGTAAATCAGTCACAGTGATGCATTTCAATGATATAATGAGCGTACAATGTTCTTAATCATTCTTGACGATGTTATCACAGTACCTAATTGATGTTTTTTTCTTAATACTTACTAAGAATGTTTTGTTTAAATACGTGAATCTTTTTTTATATTTTTTCTTTCATTGTGGTTAAGTTTTTTTCTCATGACGGGTTTCCATTGAGTTTTAGTGAATAGTACTGGCTTCTGTAGCTGGTGAGATGCATACGTACTGGTGAATAACCACCTGTATGTATGCAGTAGTATACAAAAAAATATATATTATAAAAATAAAAAACCCCGATTGTATAAAAGCTAACTAGAAAGATGAAAACAAGTTGACGAAGGAATATAGTATTATGTAGTCGGAGACATACACGTTTCATCCTTGCCGCGAGATGTACAAATGTACATACGTCTCCGAAAAAGTCGAATATCTCCGAAAAGAAAATATTTTCTTTATTTATCTGTATCGTAAGGACGGAGGTGGCAGGTCTATATGATTACACAATATGACGTTTCTAACACCGCAAGATTATATATGGTTGATAAATTAAAAAATCAAAATCATCATGCAAATTAGGTTAATTACGCCTTATTATGTAAATGTATGTTTTTATTTGGCTTGAAGCAATTAAGAGATAAAATAATTATATGTCTAATAACTAAATTGTAAATATGAAGAGATTCTTATTCTCATTCAATTGTGTCTATAACTATGTAATACGTATGTATATATGTATGTATGTTAGTATGTATGTTAGTATGTATATATGTAATATGTTTATGTATTTGTATTGTATGTATAAGGTATATCAAAATATTCGTAATATAGCAAGTACATCGCCTACCGTTTCTCTCACACTCTACTTATCCTGGTAGCTAACCAGCTACCAGGATAAGTAGAATGTGAGAGAAACGGTAGGACGTAGACGGAAGTTATCTCTTCCAGGCGGTTGCCTGGATAACGTAAGAAATAAATTCTATTTCAATAAGATTTTCTAAAAACATATTTAATATACAGGTTCGGCTTGGTTACAATTTTATTAGATGTCTAGATTACAAGATTATTAACTTCTAACCTCAGGCTAAAAAAATATATAAATGAATTCCGTCAAAATAAACGCCAAAGTCAAAAATAGTAGCGTGATTTTATTGTTTATGCTACTATTCTCGACTTTGCCATATAGATCAATAACTTCTCTTAACAGAACAAGCGAAATTTTATATAGTTATTAGCGATTAATTTGAAGTTTTTGAGAAGAAAATATGAATAATAAAAATAATACTGTATACTTTTGTATTTTTTAATCATTAGTTTCCATCTCCATCTAGTTCCCTCCCCTTGATACAGAGAGACACGTAGCATAACATCAACTTATTTCTTTATTAGCTATTCTTATTTATTAACATTTATCCATTCATTTAAGAAAAAAATATATAAATACATTATTGTTTGGCTTCATGTTTAGATCTATGATGATTCCTTAGTCTGACCTTACAAAATATCTTATATCTTTAAAGGAGCAATTCTTGTATATATATAATCTAAATTCGGAATCGGCTCCAATGATTTAATATAAATTAAATTTCGGCGATAAATCGATCTAGATTAGTCTTATGTCTGGGAAAACGCGTGTTTCCGAATTTTCATGCGGTTATCTTTCGCATTATTCCGCGCAAAATATGGTCGATTTCGCATCTGCGGGCATAAACATCATAGTCAAGCGGCCAAGGCGCAAGATTGACAATCCTAGGTGTTCGGGTTCGAATCCCGGTCGGATACAAAGGTATAATTTTTTTTGTATTTATTCAAGTTTTTAGGTTTTTTTTTAAAAGTAAATTGTACTTTTGACCAAAAACTCGTGGCCCAGGTACTATTTATAATGAATATACATATGAAGAAAATAAGTAAAGTGTAAAATGTGTCCTGTATATAGTCTCATGTAGATATCAACTTGTAAGAACACATCAGGGCCAAAAGGTTGTCAAGGCCTATTGTTATATCTTAATGACAGTAATTACTGTAAAGTATGAACTATTATTACTGATAAACTATACACATCTTTTCCTTTATTAATGCAGTCATAATTATATATTCAGTTTGAAGATAAACAAAGAAATCAGATACTTAATAGTTTACATTAGCAATGATTTTCTAGTTCTTACTGTCCCTATAAAATAATTAACCCAACCAAAGACTGTTATCGCCTATTAGATTTACATATAAGTATTAACAAGTAATATAATGTACGTATTATATAGGTTTGCCTTTCTTGTGTGATAGTGGCCAGTACAATGGTGCACGTAACTGGCTTAGATTATTACTTTTTTTGCTATTGCCATGTGCCATTTCAAATGAAAAATCAAAATCCGGACAAGTGCGAGTCGGACTCGCCCACCGAAGGTTCCGTACAAATTTGTAGGAAATCTGTTTAACTTTAATTTTCAACTTTTTTATTTTTTGGAATTTTTCCTTTATTTAGGCTGCTTGCCGTGCTTTTTGCCAAATTTCGTGATTATAGGTCAACGGGAACTACCATATAGTTTTTCTACCCAAAACCTATAAGGGTACTTCCGATGGACCTAGAATTGTCAATTTTGGATTTTGTCAAATTACACCGTAAGCCCGTGAAAGTGGAGCAAATAAACAAACAAACTTTACGCTTATAGTATATGTAAGGATCGTTATGTAATAATTGTACCCTATTTCTGTTGTAATCGATCTATATACTATATAGGTAAGTCCCAATAGTTATACTCACTTTCCTATCAAAATTTGTATCGAGCCTATGTCAAATATCTATCTCAAGTAAGGAAAAGTGTAGATAGATAGGTTATTGAGATCCATCAATAGTTACGTCACTCATTCGAGCAGAGCGAACATAAATCGGTCTTTAACCCTAATAATTACTGTTGCAAATATTCATATCCATTGTTGGCTCCCATTCACACGAGTTATAAACTCATAAACATTTTTCAATATCGTTTATTTTCATATTCAAGCAATCTATTAAAAGCCTTAAGGTGAACATGAAAAGCATAAAAGTTCAATTGTAGACTACATAGAGATAAAATAAGTTCGTTCATTTCTAGGTTTTCTGTTATTCGTTATTATTTATACTGTTAGGATTCTAGGTTAGTTGATTTAGATTTCATATGTTCGTGTACATTCTTATTTTGTAACATACATTATACATACCATATTATACCATACAAGTGATCCAATAATAAAATGTTATATAAAAAAACTCTAAAAAGTTAAATTTCTCTTTTGGCCTTTTAACTTTGTTAAAAGTACCATTTAATATTTTGATGATGAGATACATATATACAAAATATGAATAGGTACTTTTAATGAAGTTAAATGACCACTTGAGAGAAATTTTCTTTTTTTTCTTTTTAAAGTTTTTTTTATGTCGGAGGTTTCTTTCAATTTTTAATTTTTTTTTTTCAATGTTTTTAAATTACTCGCGGACACTTATTCTAATAGATAACTCTCATTGATCCTATTCTTATGAGCCCAAACACGCTATATATGTTGTAAACTGAGGAATAGATCATCCCGCAGACTATTTCATGGTACAGCATTAGCTCAAGGTAAGCATGTCTTGGAAATAGCACCGAAGTAATAGTACACCAAGTTTCAAATCAATCAGATCTGTGAAAGTTAGTAAAGCTCTTTTGTCAAGTAGGAAATTAGCTGATAATCATGAAACGCCTGATCTTCATAAATTATAGCTAAGAATCATCTCGATTACGTCAGCTTTCAAACAAAAAATACCGCATCAAAATCGGTCCATTCGTTAATAATTTAAAAGAATAAGAACTGGTGACTAATAAAATTTGCTATGGTACTAGCAAAACAAATGTTTTACATTTGTGTACAAGATTCCTAAGTACTTTTACCATTAACGACGCATTGTTGCTTCACAATTGTCCCAGCTGTAGATTATGTAACGGAGAAATTATATCTTGCATCACATTACATTTCACGCAGACTTCTGACACCGATTCGTCACTAAATTGTATATTTTTGCTAGATTGTCCACAAAAACTAATCGTGAGAGCTGTGTTTAGTGTATTATTTCGGCAACATAAAGCAAATGATTTGGACAAAAAATATAATAATAATGCTCGCTTGTAACACGACGGTTGGCTTATTAAAGGTAGTACCTGGGCGACCGAGCTTCGCTCGGAATTTTTGGCTACAAGTACAATTTCCTATTTAATTTGACTTAAAAACAAAAAATAAACTAAAAACTTGAATAAATACAAAAAAAACAAAAGTAATAACTTTGTATTCGA